TAATACTGCTGGGTGGGAAGATTTTATGTATTTGAATATCTGCTGCCCTGTCACCTGTATGCCTGTGGAGCTGGGAGCATTCAGTCAATGTTCTGTGGGTTAATGATATTTGGGCTTCAGGTCTTTCAACCCCAACCTTATTCAGGAGCAAATTGACCAGCAGCTCTGAATTCCCCAGCTAGGAAAGGCCTAAAGGTGGTTTTGAAATGTGGAAAAGGACACAGTTGCCCATCAATGCCTGCCTGACATCAGCTGTGCAGAGCAGGCAGAAGTTGCTGTAACCTGGATTGTGCAGAAGACCTTGAACCAGTATCTATATGTACCGACCGGGGGCTTGCAGTGCAAAGCCAGGCCAATGTATCGTTTTATTTACAATAAAATTATCATTTATATGAAAGCCTTTTCAGTGGCTGTTTGCAGTGCAGCGTCCGTTACTTCCTATGCAAACAGTGCTTCTGGATAAGTGGATGGGACAGCTAGTTTTAACCAAGGACCTTAACTGAAAGATGAATTCTGTGCTCTCAGGGATGTATTGTTTGGGACAGGTGGAGAAGTGTCCTATTTGGGAAGCATTGCTCCTTGGATCAGGTGAGTGTGTCCTCTACAACGCTGCCTCTGGGGAAGGTCACCTCCATCCATTCTCACTCCTCCAAGAGGTAGAATGGCTCTGTCTAGATATTTTCTTTCACTGCTGTTGTTGTTAGAGTGTAAAAATAGCAATGTCTTCATTTCACCTTGCAGGAGGGGAGCTGGGCTGCTCTGTTGGCTCTGCACGTGGAGAGTCTGCGGATGGAGAGCAGAAGCTGAGCTTTGGATCGTGCTTTGTGAGTGAATTCTTTAGTCCAGACATGGGTCTGTAAATGGTCCTCATTCACCAGTGCCTACAGAGTTGGATTGTCATCAGGCAAAAGGGCAGCAGGACCACGAGGAGATGGTTTGCATGATGGTGTTTGCCCTGGCTGGGATGCTTTGCTTCAGCTGGGAGCTCGTGGGAGTCATTCCCCAGAGAGGTTGCTAAGTGAATAACTGCAGCTCCAACTTGTGAAGCTCAGCCTGCTTGAAAGCATTTATTCCAAATATCTGGAAGCTGTTCCTGAATTGTTTCTCCCTTGGCTGTGTTGTTGGGTCATTTTATAAAGCAAGGACGTGGGGAAGTGAAGCCAGTGGGCTTCAGGTAAATGTGAAACACCACGAGCTCTGCTGCCAGAATTGATGCCATCCAGCAAAAGGGAGCTCTTGCATAGAGTGTGCTGAGGATTTGGGCAGGGTAAGCCTAGCTGTCCTGAAGTAGTCAGGGAATGGGTGCCCACACTTCCAAATATTTTCAGGCTTTATTTTTTTTCCAGCATACTATCTTAGGAAAGGACAGAAATAGTGTTCCTGTAAAGTCAGTCTGCAGTGCTTGCTCAGATACTCATTTTTTCCTGGTACTGTTCTGTGTTTATGAGCTAGGCTTGAGTGCCATTGTCACTTGAGCAGTGGATTCAATGCCACTGTGGTCCCTTGAGATGCTGGGCCAGAGCCACGACTTTCCCTGCAGTTTCCCAGGTCAGCACATAGTTTGTTTCTATGTCCACTAACCGCAGAAATATTTGTTAATGTTAAATGTGAACAACTAAGAATAAATGGGTTAACAGGCTGATGCAATAGGAACCCCTGCACGTGAAACAAGTACACGTGTGCCTCTTGTGTGCTCTTCCAGAACTGATGAGAAGCAGACAACTGAAGCTGCATCAGAGCCAAAATGTCCTGTGGGACCAGGCACCGCCGTCTGTGCTGATGCTGTGTTGAGGGACGTGGTTTAGTGGGAGCTGTTGGCAATAGGTGAACGGTTGGACTGGATGAGCTTTTAGGTCTTTTCCAACCTTGGTGATTCTATGATTCTATGATTCTATCTCCTGCTGCTTCCTGACTTCTCCTCATGTTAGAACCTGAAATTCCCACTTGTGCCACAGGCCAAGTTGAGAAGCTCACGGGCTCTGAAAACTTGTTGCCTTGGGACGCCTTTCCCAAAGCTGAGGCTTTCCCTCTCCTAACTGCTCTGTTGATCAGTTGTGACATTTGCTATAAGGATGGACGTGAGATTTATGCGTCAGGGCTGCAGGATGGCCTGTTCACTCCTGGGCTGCCCTCTCAGGAGCAACACACTCCACAAAAATGCTGTGTTCCGTGAGTGCAGTGTGTGGTCCTGCCTTGCATCTTCCCCACGCTGCTTCTTGGGTGGTTTGGAGCAGGGGGTGGGAGAGGAAAGTGCAAACTCGGGTTGGAGGTGGGAATGATCTGCCACAAGGAGTGACCAGTGCACAAAAGGAATGAACCTAAAAACCTCAACTGCTTTCCCCCCTCCTCCCCCCCCCCTCCCCCCCCTCAATGGTGTTATATTTGTAACGTGGCTCAAGGGAAGGTGACTCAAGGTAAGTTTTCTCTTTAAATCCAGTGCTACGCAGTTCTGAAGCAAATGTAATTTCAAATCCTCAAAGAGGCTGGTTATATTAGACTGCTGTGGCTATTTCTGTTAGCATCGTAAAGTCTTAACTAGGAACAACGTCTTCTGGATTTTATACCATGTGGGTGTATTGCACGAGATCCAAGAAATGCTGGCACAGTTCGCTGCCCCGTCCCCTGTTCTGCTGGTGTGGAGCTCTGCCTAGTGCTCGTTCTGCATCTCCAGTGCAGGCCCACATCTCTGCAGTGGAGGAGAGGAAATGCAGGTGGCACTGTGGCATAGTGCTACATCTAAGCACAACTTCCGAGCTCCGTGGGGCCTCCCCAGTAGTTGTGATGCTGCAGCCATCTCCCCAGCTCTTCCTCCCCACCCCAAAGGCTGCGGGCTGCCCTCTGAGCCCAGCAGTGCGGACGGTTTCCTCCCCAAATAGCTCCGAAACATCCATCCCAACTGCGGGTGCCGCTGCGCGGTGCTGCCGAGCCGCACCAGGGGGAGCACGGAATGCTTCTCCAAGCTGGTGGCTGGCTCCTGGCCGCTCGGAAACTTCCAATAAAAGCTGGGACGGTGTTTGGCAGCTGTGCGTGCTGGGAACCTCCTGTGGTTCTCTTCTTCATGGGTACTTACGCTGTTAAGTCTTACTCCAGCCAGCTGTGGGTCTGAGCATCCCGAATCGCAGGAACTTGAGCATCCGGCACCAGCAGATTGCTGCTGGCAGCCAGAAGGATGGAGGATTCGAAAGGGAATGAGACTCATCCTAAAATCAGCTGGATCTTAGAGAAATATTAGGGGCAAGGAGTGCTTTTGGCCCTTTCTTAATCTTTGCTTTACAAAAACCTCACAGCTGGAGAAGTTTTAAGCTGGGGGTTCTGTTCTGCTGCAGCTTTTGGTATTCGCTGGGAAAGTGTGTGTTGTCACTTGTGCAGAACATCCTTCACACACACCAGGCAGATCAGATAAGCTCAGAGCATTGTTTAAGACATCTTCCCATGCACTCTACCACCAGGGCTTCCCTGTGCACGGAGCCTGGTAGGTTAATCTGGGAAGCAGAGTTTGCCATTAGCAGCTCTGTGTGCTGCGTCCATCCAGGGAGATGCAGCAGTGATGGAAGCTTTTCTCCCTGTGTGTGAATTTGATGCTCATCAGGTTCACTTGTGTCCCCCCCATGCCCCCCTCAAACTGTGGTGTCTGGGTCAGCTTTCTGTTCTCAGAATGAGAAAAAGGGGACTGCAGAAAGCAGCGGTAGAAAAGATACAGATAGACTCTGAAGACCTTGTGCCTCTTGGTATTTCGTGTTCCTTCCATTTCTGCTGCATCAACAAGAGTTTGCTGCGCCCATATGCGCAGGAAAGGGGGTATAGGAGAGTAGTAGAGAACAGGGATTGCTTCTGTCATCAGGCGAAATCCCAATCTTCAGTTTTCAGAATGGAAAATTATCTAGGCTAGTTTAAAATCCCTTGCATACAATTTCCCTGCTGTGCAGAACAGAGCAGCAGCCTGCCAGTGTGAGAATGGGGAAGTGAAGCCAGCAAGAAACAGGAAGCAAAACCGAGGAGCCTGTTTTCATTTTCTAAGCCAAGGAAAGGACCGGAACCTGATCAGGGTCACAGGGCCCCTGTGCAGAGCAGCACTGTTGTGCTGTGATGAATCTTGCAGGGCTGGGCAAGGAAGTGGCTTCTGTTGTGGTGTAAGGAGCCAGCAGACCTGTGTGATGGAGGGCAGAGCGCTTTGTGAGGCTGGCACTCACAGCTGTGTGTGTGCAGTCCTTGCTGTGCACTGCATATCCTCACACGTGTCTTTAGGAAACCTCATAACAAACAAGGGCAGACGTGATGTCCAGCAGGAGGGACACTGGGGGTCACCCGTCCCTCTGAGGTCACACAGGTGGACAGCCTGCACCCATCTCTTGTAAGTGGAAGAGGAAGGTCATCAGAATCACTGTGGATTGAGCAAGGGGAAATCGTGCCTGACCAACCTGGTCACCTTCTGTGATGCCATTGACCTGCTGGGCAGATGAGGGTTACAGATCATGCGCGCAGAGGAAGGAGGTAAATGATCACTAAAAACAGACCCACCTGGGTTCACTGCATTAGGTCTCGTTAGGCTCATTAATTAGTTATGGACTCCCCCATCCAAACATCACAGCAAGGATTCTCACAGGCTGATGGAAGCCAGCCCAGCTTGGAGCCATCCCTGCCCGCCTGCTGGGACTGGGCACAGCGATGGCATGAAGGGAAGCGAATGAGCCACAAAGTGCATGTAAGCAAAAGGGCAGACAGAATTCACACAACGGTGAATTGCCTCCAAGGCTGGTCTCTGGGCTCTGCGTGGAAGCTGAATTGTGGTCACAGCCGCGGCTCAGAGCTTTGTAGCTCACTGGTGTGCAATGTGAAATCCTGAGTTTGCTCCCCAAATAACGTCTGTCTCAGCCCCAGCATCGCACGCGCATCACCAGGAATGGTTCCTCAGTCCTGTGTGGGCTCTTTGTACAGCAATGGATCAGAGCTGACCGCTGCTCCCACCTCCCTGTGCCCCTGGAAGCACAGGACAAGAGAGGGAAGGCTTGGAAACCTTGTATTACAAAAATAAAAGAGGTGTCACACGTGGAGCTGCACTCGGCTCCAGCGCAGAACGTACCAATGGAAGGCAAATATAAAAAAGACAGACACTGTTAAACAGTCGCAGGGCAACATCCTTAAGGCTGAACAATCCCAACTGAACTGAGCTGATGTAAACCAAAGACCATCCTTATTCAGAGCCCCAGCAAGGCAGCATTGGTACCGGGAGCTCTGCTCTGACTTACAGGCTGGGTTGGGGCTCTCAAAGCCCTCGGATCTCCTTTCCCACAGCAGCAGGCCTGCAATGTGTGCACAGGACTGGGATTTCACAGGGGGCAAGTGCTTCTGGTCTGATCTCATCAGGGAGAGAGGGCTCTGGGTCTGGGGGCTGCACCCCGCTCACCTCTGCCCCATCCTTACCATCTGTAGGACCCCTCTAGACATCCTCAGAGGCCCCAGGAAAAGCTGAGCTGCCTCCCCTTCCCTACTGCTTGGGTCCCCTTTGCTTTACATCAGCTCAGTCAGTGCTGGCTCAGCACTGCTCCGTGCTGTCTGCTGGGCTCCAGGGAAGGGTGGGCCGTGCCCTGCTCATGCCGACTTGGTCCCGCTCTCCACTTCCTTGTGCACCCACAGCTCCTTGTGCTGCTTGCGCCCAAAGCCCTCGTCGTAGTTGCCTTTACTCTTGAAGAGCTGCTGGAAGTGGGGCTTGCAGTAGAATTCCCCGTGGAGTGCCGCGTAGCTGCCCAGGCTGGGGAAGGAGAGGGGTTAGTGGGGCTCAGCAAGGGCTTGGGAGCACAGGGAGAAGGGAGGAAAGAGGAAGGAACGTGCAGATGGCCCTTAGCAGAAAGGGGACGGAGGGTCCTCCCCTGCCCTTCAAGAGGAGGGCTGCAATGGGCAGCTGGGTGAAGAGCCTCCCCACACCCCGTAGCTGCCAGTAAGGATCACAGCAGCACCCAGCACTGCTCACCTGAGCTTGGCGTGGCAGTGCTTGCAGCAGAAGCAGGAGTTGTGGAAGACAAATTTATCCGCCACCAGCCGCTCCATGGGGTAGACGGTTTTCTGGCAGGCAGTGCACATCTCCTTCACTTGGGCCTTCAGGCTGAAGGACTGGGCAAGGGGAAACCAAAGGGAGAGAAGGTGAGGAAAGGGGTTTGGAGATCCTGTGCCCATCCCTGTCCTTCCCACCTCCTCCCACAGCAATCGGGTGCAGGAGAATTGCGGTACCTTGGAGCGCTGCACCGTGCTGCCTCCTGAGTTGCTCTTTGCCTCCTAAGGAGAGAAATTGAAATGGGAGTTAGGGACTGGCAGGTGAGGCACTGAGCTGCGCGTGGCAGCCGGCGATGGGCTCTGAAACCTGCACCAGGAAGGCACAGGGCTTCTGTGGGGTCATGGGCACAGAGCAGCCAGCTCTGCCATTCCGCACTGCTCACCGAAGCTTGGCTGTTGCAGCGTGCCATGGCTCTGCTTCTGTGGCAAGGTGTCACAGCATACTGGCTGCTTTTTTAGTGCAGGTAGCACACGAGCACAGACCCCAGGGTCATGCAGCTCTCACCATCTGCAGGCGGTGCTTCCTTTCCTCAACTGCCCAGCAAGGCTCCAGGGCTGACATCAGCCCCTCAGCAAAGCTGAGCAGGGCAGCAGGAAACATCCCTGCCTCAACATCCCTTGGGTCTCTGCAGAGTGGCTGCAGCAGAACCCTCCCTGTGACCTACACTGGCAAACCAGCACATGCTGCCCCGGTTTTATTTTTATTGTTTTGATGTTTTTATTAACAACAGCTCTGTTTTGGCATGAGAGGCTGCTCGTGGTTCCTCCTGGCCAACAAACCATTGGGCTCATCCAACACTCAGGGCTCTGTAGGAGGGCTGGCAGTTTCCCTGTGCTGTATCTAGGATGCCCCTCACTGATGCAGCACGCAGTGCTGGCTGCCCCTCACCAGATGTTTTGTCTCCGAGTTCCCCTGTTAGCAGCCAGGCCTGCCCTCGTGCTGCACAGGAAATGCCTGCGCCATCAGCGAGACCAAAAAGCTTCCACAAGTCCCTGCAGACTGTGTGCACGGAGGGGAGAGTGGAGTTAAGGACGTGCTGGGTGTCACTCAGAGCCCACAGCTGTGGGAAGAGCAGATGCAGACTCTGAGGTGCCCAAGCCTCTGCCCCTGGGGGCTCTGAGCAAGTCTCAGTGCACCCTTAGAGGGTCCCCATCAGGCAGTGACTCCACAGCATCACCTCCTGCCTCCCTGCTGCAGCTTCAGCTCTGTTTGGGCAGCACAGCCTCGTTTCTGTCCCCAGGGTGAGCTCCCACCTCGTCCTTCCCCAGCATTTCTTCTTTGTATTTTTGGAAACAGTTTGTCTAAGAGACACACAGGAAGCTCTCACTTCACCAAGCTGCCTCTCCAGACGTTTCCCAGCTGCTCTCACCGCCTGAGGTCGAGGACATGATTTTCCTCTCCCTCCCACTTTTGCACAAGGCTGAAGAGAAAGCCAAAGTCAACAGAGCAGCGCAGGCAGAGAGGAGGCTCAGGTTGTGTAAAACCAGTTGCATCCCTCAGCGCCAGCAAAGCAACCACAGGTGCTCTGCTGGGGTTGGGGTTCACGGGCTCCTTCCAGGCTCGGTGAGCAGCGCTAAGGAGGATGCTGAGCAGGGCTCCTGCCTCCTATCTGCTCCCAAGGCTGCAGTGCTCTGCTGCTGCTCGTCACTTCTCGGCAGCCTCCTGGCTCCGACCAGGCACGCTATCTATTCCATGGCTGAGATATCCTCCCTCGGGGAAGGGCCATATCCTGTCCCAGCAGGGGATGTTCTCAAGCCTTTATGTTTTTCCATCTCCCATCGCCCCGATCCTAAGCAGCTCGCATGCTCGCAATTGTGATCACGGAAAGCCATGGAAACCCAAACAAACAGAAAGCAACCCGAGCCGAGAGGGGCGAGCAGCGCTGGATGAGATGCACCAGAGCCTGGACAACGTGCTCAGCAATGTGCTCAGCAAACAGCACCTTCTGCTGGAACCTTCCCACCCCCCCGGTCCTGTTGTCTGAGCAGCAGCTGTGCCTTCAGTCACTCTAAAACACCAAGTCCTCTATGCACAGCCTTCAGCCTCTGAGAACAAACTCAACTGGCTCTGGAATTCTCATGCAAACTGCAGGGGATGCGACATACGTGAGATGGGGTTGTGCTGGCGGCTTCCGAGGCCTGGAACATGGTTCTGTCCCCTCCTCGGTGGGTTTAATCCTGAGCTTGGAGTCTGTGGGCCGATGTTTCTGGGGAGGTGTTGAAAGCTCTCCTCTTGCAACACCTGGAAAGGAAATGTCAGTGGGAGCGTGGCCGGTTTCATCACCCCAACCCCACAGCTCTGCAGGAGCTGATGTGTGATATTGGCTTCCTTGTGGGGCACAGGGGTTCCTCGGGGGATCCAAGACTTCCAGGCACGCCAGATCTGGCATAGGGCTCAATGTTAGGAATTGAGGTGGGGACAGCATGCGGCTCTGATGCTTTCCCATACAAAGATATTGGGCTTGGATGGGAGAGGGACAGGAAGCAAAGTGGCAGCTGCTGTAAGCATCCTCCAAACCACGTGTGGAAGGCGGTCGGCAGGCGGTAGCAAGCTGTCAGCAGGCAGGTACAGCCTCCAGCCAGAGCTGCTGTCCTGCTGAGGCAGCAAACCCAGAGCCCAGACTGGTGCAGCCACCAAAGGATGGGTGATGCCGGATTTTAGCCTAATTTTAGCCCAGAGAAGCTTTGCTGAACAGAGCGGCTCACAGCTCAGCGGAGCGAGTGACAGAAACTTTGTCTTCTCTCAGGAGCTCACATTGCCTTTAGGCTGAGCAACCCGTGAGGGTGAGTTTGATGCCTCCCAGCACAGCTTTAATGCAGCACAGGAAAAAAAAAAGTCACTAAAAAAAAAACACCACCTCTTTTGGTAAAAGTCGGATGAAAAGGTACTGACAGATCCTCGGGGTTTTCCCCAACTGTGCTTTACCTTCAAAACAGCCATAAAAGGTCAGGGTTGATGAGCCCTGTTTTGCACATGTGAAACAGATGGGGAGCTGAGCTCTTGGTGCAGAGGGAGGAGCAGAGTGGGGACACTGAGCCATGGCTGTGGCCTCTGAGCCCCCCGTGCTGCCCTGGCTGCAAACAGGAGATCTGCAATGATGGAGATGTGCTGCCAATCCAATCTCCCAGTGACGTTTGCAACCACAGTTTGGCTTTGGGGAATTCTTTGATCCCCAGAAAGCCCCAACACCCAGCAGCTGCCATCAGGCTCGAGGTGCTGCAACCAAACACCCCAAATGAGCGACTGCTTTCAGAATTCAACCACCTGAGCAGCAAAGCCGGGCTTCCAGACCTGAGCTGGGCAGCCCTCGGTGCAGACGTTTCCCAGCCCCAGCTGAGAACACAACTCCAGTTTTACCGAAATCATTTCCCATCCTCTCTGCGGTCTGTCTGTCATTTCCTGCTCGCCACGATGCAGCGCACGCAGGCGGATGATGCTGGAGGCCATGCAGACACCCCCCTCCTCCTGCCACCCCCCTCCTGGTGCAGCACCATCCCTCCCACACCTCCAGGGTCTGCGTGGTGCACAGACCCCATGGGGAACCCAAAGAACCCACAAAGCCCCTCTGGCCCATACCCTGCATGTACCTCCAGCACAGATGTGCAGCCCTTGATCTCCTCACCTCTTTTCACCTCTCGCCGCCCGTCCCTCCAACATCTCTCCACCCCTTCCTCTTCCCCTCACAGCCCATCTTCCTCCCCTACCCCAGCTGCCTCAGTTTCCCCTGTTCCTCCAGCCCCTTCCTCCCCATGATCCCTGGCTCCCTCTGCTTCTGTTTTTCCCCTTCCCCTCTTTTCCTGCATGCAGCAGCTCCCCAATCCCATTCCCTTCAAGACCATCACAATTATCCCAACCCATATCTTGATGTTCTCCATCCAGACCCACTCTCCATGCACATACCCTTCTGCAGCCCCGTGCCCCGGTCTTTGTTTCAAGAGAGGCCCCTTTGGTCTAGCTGCCCTCCAGACAAGAGTAGATGTTGCTAAACATCCTTCCTGCCCAAGGACAGGGGTAGAAATCTCAAAGGGGAAGGGTGTGCTGAAGTGATAAAGGAAACAGAGCACACTAGAGACCGCAGGAGTGTTTCTAAGAGGCTTCCAGCTGCTGTCATCACTGTTTCAAGGAGGCATTGGTCTGCACAGGGGGGATTTGAGCCCAAAGCAGTAAACATGCTTCTGTGTGCAGAGGAACCCCCATGGCACAGGCTTTGCTTCAGGACACATTGCCACACTGATGCCAAGATTGCTGGTGCTGGAACAGCTTGCTGATTTCACGAAGACCACGTGTTATGTCTGTGACAAAGCAAGGAAGCTCAGTCCTGGCCTCCATGGTGGATGCTGGCACCACAGCTGCTAGCCCTGATTTCTCCAGACCTCCGTTCCTAAGCTCCTTCACACAGCCCAGGAGGAGGAGGACTGACTATTGGCTTCTTATCATACAGCTCAGGATGGGACAAGGACCCCTTCACCCTGCAGCTTTTGCTCTTCCTGTCCTTCCTTGGAGCATCTGATGGTCCTCCAGTGGATCTGGGCTTGAGCCCAAGGAGGTGGAGCACCCTCTGACAGCAGCTCTGGTGGCTGCAATGTGGCAGAACTGGATCTCAGTGGCACTGGATTCAGCAGGATGCATTCAGTGCCCAAACCACCAGCTTCAGCCTGGCTCTGGGGGCTTCTTGGTGACCTCAGCAAGCTGTCTTTGACCCAGGACAGTGGGGCTGGAGGTCACCTGCAGGGCACATGCACTTGCTGCCATGGGAATACAGCAGGAGGAGTGCTGCAGCTCTGCCTTTTGGCACTAACCAAGGAGCTCTTTGGGCTGAAGAAGGCAGCATTCAGCCCAGAAGCTGCTCAGTCACAAAACATTTGTCTCACAGCCTGTCACCTGCCTGGCCCTGGGGACAGATGTAAGGACAGGGAAGCATCTGGAGTGGCCCCTTGTGGAAATTCCCCGACTCACAGGAGGACGGCATCTCCCCATAACCATGGCCTGCCTCCAACACACAGCACTGTCCCCTTCTCCTGCTCAGCATCACGGCCCTTTGCTGCCTACCAGCCTCATTTCACTGGGCCCCCAAGCAGCCCACTGCTGGCTGAGAGCCTCTCTGAAAACTGATGATGGTTTTCCGGCACAGGAAAGCAGCGTGACTGCAAAGGGTGAGAGGCCCCTCTCTGCCATATGGTTCCCATTAGCAGCCCTGTGAAGTCAGTGTTTACTGCTGAGATCACTGTGCCATGGCCAGAGGCTTTCCCAAAGACCAAGCACAGTGTGTGTGGGGGGGGGTGGGGAGGGAGGGGAAGGATCCAGGCCCCCTCCCTCTCCATCCCAAGAAGATGCCTTTTCCCCAGCAGCGTGGCATGGCTTCCACTCCTCAGAGGGGCTATCGGGCATCTCCCCCATGAAATTCGGTACTGCTGATGTCCCCATGACCACATATAGGGTTATGCAAACACCTGCCATGGCCAGCCCATGCTGTGAAACAAATCAGCATCAAACAGGCCAGCATCAGGCCAGGAACACAACATCACCAGCACTGCTGCAGCTTCTCAGGAAAAGGGGCAGCAAGCTGCAGCCGTGGGGGGACAACAGAGCAAGTGTGGTGGTCAGGGTTCCATCCTTGGCAGACCTCAAGTCATGGTGGTGATGGGCTGGCAGTTGGACCTGATGGTCTTAGTGGTCTTTTCCAGCCTTAATGATTCCATGATTCTAAGTTGGCTTCAGATCTGGGCTCCTTGCGTGGCTCCAGGCCAACACCGGTGTTTGGGACCCAACCCAGGTTCTTGTTGCTGCAATCCAGGACAGAGGGCTCTGGAGGGAAGCAGATGGGCCGCTCACGCAGCCCCCACGACCCCACCTGGCCCCACCACGCACAGCTTCCCCTCTCATCCACTTTCCATCCACGTTCCGTGCCGTCTCTTGAAAGGCTGCCAGCGGGCAGGAAATCTGCAGCTGAAATGCTGAGGGATGCTGACAAGGAATAGTTGTGGGGAGGAACAGGGCTGCCTTTGTCAGGGCAACAATGGAGGACCCACACGAGCCAGGGAAGCCCCTGCCCAGCCATTCTGCTCTCCTACCTTCAGCCCTGGGAGCACCAGGTCCAGCCATGCCCTGAGGATGCTGCTGGGATCCATCTGTTTTCCAGCAGTGGGAACTGAAGCACAGAGCAGCCCATCCCTTGGACTAAAGCCATGTTTTATGGCATCCATTAAGCATCATGAAGGGAATCTCTGCTCCCTGGGTTCAGCGATCTCGTTCGGAGAGAGTGGACGAATGCAGTAGGGAGCTGCTACGTGGGGGAGAGGAGATTCTTTTCCAGGCAGAGAAATCTCTCTCATTAGAGCCAGATGATAGAGCAGGCAGCAACAACAGGTTGGGAGGTTCAGATTGGGCATCAGGCACAAATGCTTCATAAGAAGGAAGACTTGGAAGCTCTGCAGCATGGTACTAATTAAGTGCAGTACACACGAGCACAGTTATAGCAGTTATGCCCCTTCCACCCCCTTCTCAGTTCTTCCTTAGTCTTAGAAGACATCCCCCACGTCCTACCCAGAAACTCCACCTCCCAGTTTCCTACCAACATGTTCATCCCTTTACTCTTATTGTGGAATTTTGCTCCCAGTTTGCCTCCCAGAAGTACTCATGGCCTATCAGCCTCCTCTTTTTTGGCCACGAGAAGCCAATCCATTTAATCTGTTCCTATAGGAGAGGTTCTCCATCCCTACACCAGAGGAGGGCTCAGACCTTTGCGTCCCGCTTGGACCCCTTCCCTGGCAGCACACAGCAGTGCTGATGCACTCTTCCTCTGTCACCTCTGCACTGATCCCAAATGCTCACTCTCCTGCAGTGCCCTCTGCTCGCTGGCCATATGGAGTGGGCTTTGGGCACACCAGAGGAGTGAGAAATATATTGTGTGTTTAATGATTGCAATAATCCCTTCACCCAGATTTAACGTTTTCCATCCCAGAGCTTTGCTAATAGCTAGGTAAGCTCTGCAACACTCCCAGATGGCAGATGAAAAGATGACTTTAATGGAAAGCCAAAGGCAGAGATGGGAACATGGCAGCTGCCTGACAATGGGCTGCAAGAGCTGAGGATGGGCAAAAAGGAAAAGGAAAACCCCTCGCAGCTGGGCTGAAGGGACTGCTTGCAGGCTCACAGACCTGCAGGAGGAAACCACCAATGGAACTCCCTTCCCTAATGAGAAGTCTCATGGGACTTTGGGGACCAAAAAAAGACACTTTTGTTGTGAGCCTTACGGAAACGAAGATGCACGCAATCACTGCACACCCCGTGCTGAGGTGGACCCTGACTGCTCAGCTGGGAGTTTGCTTCCTGCGGGACCCCATGGGGAGAGGACAGCAGCACCGAGGCTGTTTCAGACTATACTACATCAGTTACCCTGCCATTATTTTTTAATCAGCATTAATAATGCTGCAGGCATGTTGTCCCTGGCCCTAAATACGCAGCAGCTCAGCTGGGAGAGCCCTCGTGTGATGCTTTCGGTGCACAAAGCCCCATTTCTGAAGCACGCTGCCACACAACTCCAGTGTACCAAAACAGATGCCCAACCCATCAACAGAAACCAGTTGAAAACCAATAAAAACATCATCTATGTGGTATCTTAGCTGGTCCAAGAGATCCTAAGGAATTATAAGGATCAGATCTTCCCTTTACCCAGTGGTTACAGCACAGGGCTGCCACCTGGGGCTGATCCCGGCTGTAGTTCTTGGGTGACAACATCTTGGTTTGGTTTTTTTAATCCTTTCCCTTTCTCTCTACTGAAAGCAGAGCTGCTTCCCTTTGTGAAGCCCTGAGGGGGTCCCCAGCTGCTCAGGGCTATGCCAGGGCTGGGGGTGCATTCATGTTGGGATCAAATCTCACAGTCATGCAACAGCCTCCTGAGAGGGTGATGGAAGACCTGTGGCTGGAGGGATGTAAAGCTGGATGGGTGCTGGGAGACACAGCATGGAGAGGCAGCAGGCAGCAGCCAAGGCAGGGGGTAAAAGGGGGGGTATAGGGGAGCAGGGATCTAACAGGTTTTCTTCTATCTTTGCTCAATCTGCTCAGCTTAAGCAGATGGATCTGTCCAACCCCACCACACCCCCGAGCACGGGATGCAGCACACAACAAAGAGGGAGTTCAGCACAGCTGGGGAGCCCCAAAATGCTGCACCCCCCCCACCAAGCACCGCACTCCCAGACCCTATTCACTCCCTTCCCCACTCAGCACCGGGTGCAGATCCCTCTCCTCTTCCTTGCCCTCCCAACAGAATCCCAACCCCAAAAGGCACCCAGTGCCCAGACAGCATCCCCCGTATGCTCCCCCACCCTACAGTCCCTCGACCGAGCCGCTTCCCGAAGCAAAAGTTCCTCTCTGTGGGGTCACGCATGCATTTTTCGGGGGGGGAAAACCCCCACCTGCTGCATGACCCCGGCTGGCAGCGCTGCTCTCGGGGCTCCCCACCTGCAGCCCTGCCTTCTCCCCATCTCCCCATCTCCCACCCCGCTTTGTTCCCCTCCCCCATTGTTCCCGACAAACCCAAACCCAAACCCACCATACCCCCGGGCTCCGCCGCCGAGGAGAAGGACTCAGCCCTCACCACGCTTGGTTGGTCGGTCGGTCGGTCGGTCGGTCGGTCGGTCGGTCGCCTCAGTCCCTTCCGCGCTCAGGCGCGCTCCGTGCGCGCTCCCCCCGCCGCCCCGCAGCCCCTTTTATCGCGCGGCCGCCGCGGCGATTGGTTCCTTGCGCGGTGCGGCTCCGAGCGCCGCTCCTTTGTGTGCAGCCGCCTCTCCCTCACCCGGCGGCCCCCCGGCCCCAAAACCGCACCGCCGCCCCCCACTCCCCGCCCCCCCCACCCTCCACCACCCGCCGTGGATGCGGTGCTGAGCTCGAGGCCACGAAGGCAGCGGGCTGCGGATCCCCCCAGGCTCCGCACGGCCGCCCCTCAGCGAGCGGAGCGGCGATGGTGGATGGGGTTTTGTTGGGGTCGGGGTTTTGTTGGGGTCGGGGTTTCGCCTGAAGAGGGCGAAGGGCGGCACTGGGCAAAGCGGGGGCAGCGGAGCAGGGTCGGGAGCGCGGCCCCGTGCTCCTGTTGGCCGCGTGCGCGCGCAGTGCGCGGCGATCGACCTCGGTGCAACGCATCCTTGCCTGGCGGCGGCGTTCACCAGGAGGGGAGGTGCGGCGTATCGGTGCCGTCGCTGCGTGGCCGTGCAGCACCTGCAGCGTAGAGGTTTCGCTGCAAATGGAAGAAGGAAACACGCCGGGCCGGGCTGCAGCAGCGCGCCTGGCTTGCGGAGAGCGGCATCCGCACACACGCACACGGAAACATGCGTGCACGCTGACACTCGTGTGCCGGCACTCCCGTGAAAGTGCACGGTGCGTGCATGCCGACGTGCTCGTGCGCCTGGACGCTTGTGTGCTCCACACGCGTGCACGCTTGGCTATGTGCACACGCATGCTCGCGCACTCACGGATGCATGCTGAAGTGCTCGTGCACATGCAAACGCATGCACGCGCGTGCACGTGGGGGGCGCGCTCACGCACACACACCGGTGCACGCGCACTCCAAGCCGTTGCTATGGAGACGCGCGAGTTCCCCGGCAGCCCGGCAGCCCTCCGGCAGGGAGAGCGGCTCCTCCTTTCTGCGCCCTCCCCGCCTGCAGGGGGCGCCCTCCCTCGCCCTGCCCCCAGGAGCCGCCGCTCTCCCCGCGGCCCGAGTCCTCCCGGCCAGCAGGGGACGCTGAGCCGCGCTGAGCCGCTCTAGGGCTGCTCTGGCCGGCAGCGACGGCGCAAGATGGCGGAGGAAGGCTCGGTGTGCAGCTTCGTCTTCAAGAAACGGGGTCTGGCGGCGGGTAGAGGCCGGCGGAAGCGGCCCAGCAGCGACCAGGAGCATGGTGAGGGCCGTGGGGTTTGCCGGGGGCGGTAGGCGCTGAGGCGGTCCATTACGGTTCCCGAGGGAGGCGAGGGAAGACCTGCTGGCGCCCTGGGCCGCACTGCCCCTCAGTCAGGCCCGGCCCTGGGCCGCTGGGCCGTGTGGGTGAGGGGCGCTGCGGCGGCCGGGCCTCCGTGCCGGGGTGCCGTTCGTTATCCTCCCGCAGAGCCGCGGGGATCCGCCGCCCCCTCTGCCCCGCGGTTCGGCCCCCCTGGCGCCCCTTAAGCCCCGTGCTGTGCCCCGCAGAGAGCAGCGGTGAGGAGGGCAGCACGGTGGTGCGGAAGGAGCGGCGGCGGGAGGCCCCCAACCCCATGATCCAGAAGGTGAGGAGCCTGCGGGGCACTGCGCCGGCCGGGGGCTGCGTGGGGCCCGTTTATCCCTCACAGCCGCTGTCTGTTTGCCCTTCAGACCAGGAGGTGCACGAAGGAGCGGCCCTCGTACGCGCTGAGCAGCAGCGATGAGGATGATCCATCGAAGGAGATCGGAGTCACCTACAGATCAACAAGGTCGGCGGTAAGGACTGAGCACGGGCTGAGGGGGGGGGGGGGCTGGCTGATCTCAATAATCTGCTTCTGCAGATGTGCAGTCAGCTCGTCTTGGTTTTGATCCATAGATGTGTGTTCCTTCCCTCCTAACACACGAGTGTTTTGTGCTAGGTTTATTCTTCTGATGTACTGCATCATCAGGAGTTCAACTAGGAATTCAGAGGGCTGGAGCATCTCTCCTATGAAGAAGGGTTGAGGAAACTGGGATTGTTTAGCTTGGAGAAGAGAAGGCTGTGGGGAAACCTCATTGTGGAGCATATAAACAGGAGGGGAACGGCTGTTTAAGAGGGTGAATGGTGATAGGACAAGGGGGAATGGCTTTAAACTGAGACAGGGGAGGTTTAGGTTGGATATTAGAAGGAAGTTTTTCCCCCAGAGGGTGGTGAGGCACTGGAACAGGTTGCCTAAGGAGGCTGTGGATGCCCATCCCTGCAGGCATTCAAGGCCAGGCTGGATGTGGCTCCGGGCAGCCTGGGCTGCTGGTTGGTGACCTGCACACAGCAGGGTGATGGAACCAGATGAGCACTGTGGTCCTTTTCAACCCAGGCCATTCTGTGATTCTATGAATTAAAGTTGGTCTTTCCCTCTTAGAAGTGGGAATTAAAACCCCAAGGTGTGACTGGAGTCACACAAAGTGTTTGGGAGATGGAGCACCAGAATCAGATTTGCTCGATTATTGGGGCCATATTTTCAGTTTTATAGCACCTTCCTCCATAAGGTATTCACGTAACATAGAATGTACTCCCATCTTTATTTTTGTGAGTAGTAATAGGGTAAAAGCTTTAGAGGGAGGTCACTGTTTTCTTAGGATTGAGGCATGGGGAAACCTGAGGGCCTTGTTAACAGTTGAAGTGGAGAGAAATCACTATTTTTAAGTTTTTGACACAGCTGGAAAAATGTTCTTCCCATTGGGTTTTTCTCAAGCTCTCCTCTTCATCCAGTGAAATTGTGTCCATCTATAAGAGTCTCATCGAGATTTGTGTAGAACTAAAAGCAAGTACCAGCATTTGCTGTGTTGATGCTTTTTATTCCTCCCCAGATTTGCTTCCTTATTCTCTGTGTCTCCTTTTTTTTCTCTGTAAAATGGGAATAACGTCCAGCTATCCTCAGTCAAAGATGCAAGGTCAGACTGAGGTCTCATTATCACATTAGAGATCAATATGAAGGCTCATGCTGTAAGGAGGAAGCCAAGGCAGGGCAGCATGTTCTTAGGAGGAGGTGGAGGCTTTTGGTGTGTAAGTTGGATTTGTTTTTAATTTGAGGCTGGTAGTAATTATTCTTCGGTTTCTGTGCAGCTGACAAAACCTAGGAGGAGGTGTCTGTTCACTGTGTTCAAGAGGAACCAAAACCAAATCACTGGATTAAAACTGAGCGCGGGCTGCTGGGTTAAAAGTTCAGATGAAACATGCTGTGTGTGGGCTGGGCGCTTCATGACTGAAGCATTGAACATGGGAGAGCTGAGATCAGTTTCCAGCTAACACAAGATGAAGCTTGAAGGAATAAAGTGGGGACCAGTGTGTCCTGACTTTGCAAGCTAAAACCTGGGAGTAGTCAGTAATTAGCATCCTGTCTTCCACAAGCATTAGGCTGGATTCATGCTGGCAGGTGCTAAGAGAAGTTAGAAACTGCTGGAGGGTGAAGCAGGCCGTGCCCAGCACTTGTTCAGTCACTGACCCACCTGATAGCCCAGGGGCTTTCTCTCTTGTACAGCCTTTCTTTCTACTGTTGTCACAAGTTGTTCTTGCTTTTCAGAAACCTGTTGGCCCAGAAGACATGGGGGCCACAGCAGTGTATGAACTGGACACAGAGAAGGATAAAGATGCCCAGGCCATCTTCGAGCGCAGCCAGAAAATCCAGGAGGTCAGTCAGCCTCACCTTCACGAGTTAACGCTGTGCAGGGGGAGTGTGTGTGCTTAACTCATCCCCTTTTGCATGCCAAGAGTCTGAGTCTTTTCTTCCCTGCTAATTTGAGAGGCCAAAAGTGTTGCCTGTGTAAATGGGGGAACTTCTGGCATTATCAATTTCCTGGTATTAAGGGAGGCATGGCCAGAAAGGGAGATTGGTATTGGAGAGGTGAAAGCTGGTTTGTGACATGAAGCTCTTCTGACCCTTAATTGCCTTTCCTTTTTTCTTTTCTAGGAACTGAGAGGAAAAGAAGATGATAAAATTTACCGTGGTATTAACAACTACCAGAAGTATGTGAAGCCCAAAGACACATCAATGGGAAATGCCTCTTCAGGAATGGTCAGGTAGGTTGGGACGAGCCTGGGATGGGGGGAACCACAGAGAATTTCAGGCATTGTCCCCAAAGGCATTTTTCTGGGGCCGAAATGTTGCTGTTTTTGCCAACTTGTTCCTATCTAATGAGTGCAGTGTCTGGTTTTGGCTGGGCCCCCAGGGCCCTTCTCCACTGCAGTGACACAGCTGGCCTGAGCCTTCTCCCACCCTTTCAGAAAAGGACCCATCCGTGCTCCAGAGCACCTGCGGGCCACGGTGCGGTGGGATTACCAGCCAGACATCTGTAAGGACTACAAAGAAACGGGGTTCTGCGGCTTTGGAGGTGAGTGGACATTGCCTGCAGGTGAGCACGTGCTGCCCCTGACCTGCAGAGGGATCCAACCCAGTTGGGTGACCCCAGGTTTGTGGCACTAAGTTACTGATTCACGGGCAGAGTTCGTGTTTCCTCACCTGAGGTTATGTGGGGGTGGGATTTCCTCGTCCTTATCCCACTTCCCACGTGGGTGAATGCTGGAGCTCTTGCTGTGGCATCCAGACCGTGATGCTCGTGGCCTGTTGATCCTGAGAGGGCAGTGTGGCCTGCTCGGTCCTGCCCTGGAATGTAGGTGCGTGGAGAAGCAATCAGGTTTCACCTTGTGCTGGCAAATCTCAGGCTGCCCCTGCATGAGGTGACCTGTGAACAGCTGGGCAATGGGGGAAGATTGTTCATCCCCCCTCCTTTGTGCTTTTCAGACAGCTGCAAATTCCTCCACGACCGCTCAGACTACAAACACGGCTGGCAGATAGAACGGGAACTGGATGAAGGCCGCTATGGAGTCAATGGTACAGCACAGCCCCTCTGCTCTCCTGCTCCCTGAGCTAATGGTGCACGAGGCCACAAGGTCCTGCCTTCTCTCATGTTGGAAAGTGAATGTGACTTACAGACTTTGCTGTCTCAAACTGCACAAGCAATGGGTCGATTAGATGGAAGGAATTCCTCATTCCACAAAGCTATGGAACTCCCTGCTGTGGAATTACCTTAGCACCAGTAACCACTGCCAGTGCTGAGCAAATCTGCTGCTTTCAGATTTCCACTGACTGCTACCAGGGAGGACTATTTGCTCTGTCTATACAGAATATAGCAGTCTGCTATTGTATGAATCCCAGCAGCAAGCAGCGTGGAGCTGGGGAGGTAGATAGAACCATTTCCTGCAGCACAAATGCCCAGGAGCTAGAATGCTTTCATGCCTCGTCACATCCCTATTTCTCACTCAGAATCCACATCTGTGGCCCAAGGATGCAGCTGAGTGTTGCTTATGAACCCCTGTGCAGTTCCAGGAAAGGGGATGTTCTGTGAGTTGGAGTTGAAGAGTTTAATAGCAGCTGTTTTGGAAAGAAATGTGAAAAATTGGAGGATCTGTCTGTTTATAGCAGCAAGCGGGTGTCAGAAAATATGCTCCTGTGAGCTGAGCAACAAGCACGTTGGCTCATTAGACCTAATTATATCTCAGTCCCACACATGTTACTGACATCAGCGACACCCAGATGCTAGAACTCTGTTGTTTCCAGCAGAGATTCAATCCCACCTGCTGTACTTTCTCTATGTTCCATATTTCATGCCCCGTGCATCTGCTGGCCTGGCTGCTTCCTCTCTTGATCCAGTCTGGTTAACTTTCTCTTGTGCAGATGAAGAAAACTATGAGGTGAGCAGTGATGAGGAGGATATGCCTTTCAAATGCTTCATCTGCAGAAGTTCCTTCAAGAACCCCGTGGTCACCAAGTAAGTGAGGGAGCCAAACATCTGTGGTGGGTTGAGTCCTCTGGTCAGTCAGCCATTCGCCATGGTTGCAAACACTGTCATTGCCTACATGCTGGTGGGTGGAGTATGCTTGTTTGCTTCTCTGGGGGGTGGGGAAAGCCTCTGCTATGCAGGGAGTCTCCTAACTACATCTCAAGCATCTCCTTGAGGGATCTCAAGCCTTTGTTGTCCAAGCACCTTTTAGATTTCCACAGATGCTGCCTGATGGCATCACCTTGCAGCAGCCACACTGCTGGCTGTCCTGACAGGTGCCTGCTACCTCCATGCTTCCTCCAGGGAATACCACAGCCCGTCCACTATAGCACTTGTACCCGTGCTGTCTCTGGGAGAGCTGGCTGATGGCTGCGTGCAGACATTCAGCAGCAGTGAAGCAATGCTGAAATAGCTTTTATGAGTACGGCAGAGAACACAGGGCTGATGCTGCATAGGAAGCTGTGCACCCAGCTTGCTTTTGCATTCCTCAGGGCTCAGTGGTCAATTATTTCTGACTCCTGGATGCAGCAGTTGTATGTGGTGACAGGCACTGCCTTCTGTTTCTCCATACAGATGTAGGCATTACTTCTGTGAGAGCTGTGCCCTCCAGCACTATCGCAAATCCCAGCGCTGCTACGTGTGTGACAAGCAGACCAATGGAGTCTTCAACCCAGCAAAAGGTAACAGCCAGCTGTGGGAAAGAGGGCTGCTGATGTATGCTCACAGCTTTTGGCCTGGCTGCAAGTTGGAGCTCACAGGCAGAACTTCTCTCAGTGCCTGGAGGCACCACATCAGGGCCTGGGTGCCTCCACAGGTGTAAAAAGAGCATTTGTGTTTGCCCAGATGAGGAACGTGGGGAGACTGATTTCTGATGGGGGTGTTGGGAGTGCAGACAGTAGCTTTTCTGATACTGTTGTTTGCAGGTCAGTAATCCGCTGACAGAGCCTGGTGCTGTAGCATCTGAAGCCCCGGGCTCAGCACACGGTGGTACATCCTGGTTTAGTCTTTGTGTAGGAAGGTGATTTTTGGTAGGTGCTTCAGTTCTTGGAGAGCTGTGTTGGCAGGTCTTGGACAGCCAGCTTTGCTGTTGCACATCCCTCAGACCTGGAGTCTCATTGTGCCTCTTCCTGCTTTTCAGAGCTCATGGCAAAATTGGAAAAACACAAAGGGGAGGAGGAAGAGGAGGAGGAGTCAGACCACTCAGACCATGGAGAAGACCCGCACTAGCAGAGCACTGTTTTGTATGGAGCCAAATAAAGTTTTCATGGGAACAAAGCACTGATCACAGCACCCTTGGGCAGCAGCTGCAGCCATTGGTCGCTCATCCAACCAGGGGTCGTTAAAATGGGGGCACAAGTGGTGCCAGCCTTCATTTGCTGCTCTGTGAAGGTACAGGACAGAAGGGGGGAGCAGAGAGTTGTCCTCTGTGCCAGCAGTGGGACCACACGAGGGCCAGGGGAGGGAGGGGTGGGACTCTGTTCAGTTACTTTTGACGAGGTGTTGCCATTTATTTTACTCCTGCTGTGGCAATTATCCTGCTTGTGTCCTTCCAGTTAGCTCTGGAAGCATGAAAAACTATCCTGAAGTTACAGGGAGTAATCTCTATCCCAAAATTTAAGTCCATAAAATATGATCGTGTCGAACGCAGAAAGCAGGGAGAGAAATGAAAACTAGAAAACTAGTTGCTTGCACCAAGTTCATCTGTCACTCTGGAAATGCTGTTTGGGAAGTAAGCCAGACTTCTGCAGTTAGTTGTGATTTATTACAGCTCAGAGGAGCGTATTCCCTCCTGTCTGTTCTGCTGCCTCTTGGTTTCTAGAAGTCAAGAGCTAAAAGTCACATCAATCAGGGTTTAGAACTTAAGTGGGTGATGTGGAATCATCCCTTGGGGACGAAGCCAGCAGCTGCAGCAGATCCCAAACATGGTCCCCAAGGTCTTATGCTGTCACTGGTACTTTATTATTTTTCCCTTGCTGCAAGTACCAGCAACCATCTCTGTCCAGGCCTGTGGAATGGGGATGAGAATTTTTGCAAGCAAATTTTTGCAGCCCACTTCATAGTGGGCTGGACTGCAAAATGCAATCTCCTAAGTCTGGAATTGAGAAGAGTATAAGCTTGCAAAGCTTGTGGCATCACTGCTGCCATCACTCCTCTGTCACTCTGCAGAAACAGCAGGCTTACAAACTTCAGAAATATTTTATTTGTTTTGGCAAAAAACTAGAGTAACAAACTTTATCTGGGTTCAAGTAGTTTACAAACACAAGAAGGACCTGTTGTCAGCACCACTCTCCCATCAACCACACATACAGGATTGGAGTCTCAGTGCTTCATTTGAGAATGGAAAGAGCTCCAGCACCCACGGTCCTTGGAAAGGTCAAAGTGAAAGCCTTAAACACACCTCCAAAACCAAATGCTGTGGGCTGGGGGAGAGCTGCCACAGCCAGGGATCAAGGGAAGCTGTGAAAAGCAAGCAGAGGATTTTTTTCAAATCTGTCATTCATTCAGGGATGATGGTACAGCAATAGTAAGAGGGCTTAAGATCATTCTGTACATAACATTCAAAGAGGTGTTGTGAATAAGAGGAGTTGGTGTGAAAATTACTTTTCCTTCATGCCAAGTCACTGAGAACAGGCTGGTATGAATATTTCATGCTGTGAAAGCAGCCCAGCTAACAGAGGGCTGAGCTGGATGTGCTCTGGGAGGTTAGGAAAGCTGGTACATGCACAGAACTACATGCACTAGAATTTGATGACCCAGGCAGCCATGGGAGGAGAGGTGGGGATGCCATCCAACCTGGAGCTCAGAGCACACAGCATCAGCTGAGAGGAGTCTTAAAAGCTCTCTCCAGAACTGGAGCACAGCTCAGGACTGCAGAGGAATGCCCAGTGCAGTGAATGTGCCCAGGCCAGCATCAGGTTATCTCCTGTTTCTTGTTTTCCCCATAAAGAAGTGACCAAGCTTAAGAATGCACTCCTTTCCCCACCCTCAGAAGTTACCCAGTAACAACACTGTAACATAAATCTGACTAGCTCTAAGAAAATGCCCCAAACTAAGAACTGCTTTCCTCCCCTTCTTAACTCTAAGGCACCCTTTAAAAAAATAAAAATAAAAAAAAAATAGAATCATGCAGCCTTCACCTGCAATACAAGGAAGCCACTCATTTTTAGAAACACAGGGAAAGAGACCATAACTGAACAGATTCACTCCATCCACTGTAGTGTTCTCCTGGTGCTCAGCTGAAAGAACTGGGATATGGGGCACTGCACCAACCAGAACACTCCACAGCTCTGGTCTGTCCGTTTGTTTCCAGGCTTCTTTCCAAGTAAACAGGCAGCTGAAGTTCCTTCCCAAGGACCTGTAAACTCTTCTACGTGTAACATTCATCACCTTTTATGAACAGGAACAATAAATTACAGCGTCCAGAAAGCTCCTCCAGAACCAAAAAATAGTCTGTTTTTTTAGAATTCCCAGTCATCCACATCCAGCTGCTCCAGGTTTGACACCAGCCCAAAAATGCCACTGGGATCCTGGGGCCGAGTTCCTTCAAAGTTAGTGATGGGTGTGACGGGGCGCAGCAGCTCAGGGAGCGCTTCAGAAGCACGGCGCTTGATCTGCGTGGAAGAAAAAGCTCAGCTCTGAAATGCTTCTTCACATAGGAAGGCAGCGAGTAAGACAAGCATCCTCCTGTCTGCACTGAGATGCACAACCTGCATCTTGTAACAGCGCTTCGCACAGTCGTTGCAGTAACACTTGTGTGATTCTGAGGGTAAGAGAAGCTGAAGTGTCACAGGAGAGGGAGCTGCTGGAAGAGCCACATCGTGCTCCCAGAGAACAGCCCTGCCACCTTCCTAGAGAATGCAAGGCTCCCTAACCTGCACTGCTGCTAATCAACCAAGCTAAATTAATCATTTCAGGTCCCAGAAAATTCAGCAGCTCAAAATTCCCACCCTCAGCTTTGGTGACACTGTAAGGTAATGACTGCAGAAAAGCCACTGTTCTGTACCTGTGCATTAAGTGATCTCCTTACCTGTTTGAAAAAGGGATGATTAAGCAGAGCACCCGCACTTGGCCTGCAGAAGGAAGTTCAAATAGAACAAGAGAAGAAAACGAGTCAGTGCACTTTGACCTTTCAAGATTCAAGATGCCCACGTCACTCAGATCAGCAGTGCATCATCACAACCCCGTCCCACCCATCCCCTCCCTCGCACCAGCTCTGGCACCCAGACTCTGTGAAGATTCAACACACCAACCCAGCAGAAAACACGCCCTTAGCAGCTGATGGGGTGACCTGACGAGCACAAGGGGCAGCGGAAGGACAGGGCAGGACCCCCACCTTCCCAAAGGAGGCTGCAAACTGTGGCTACGAACTCTCAAGGAAAGAGCCTCACGACATTAACGCTGCTTTTGTTGCACACACTTGACGTGCTGCTCTCAACACACAAAGCACATCCTCACTCACGGCTTTGGAAAAACTGCAAACAACCTTCACTGGTTCTCATGGTTTATTCAGCACAAAAACTGTGCTTGTAGCAGGCTTGTGAAGAGCAGCTTTGGCCTGGCTTTACCTGAAGTCTGGATTCCGCTGAAGGCACTGCGCTACGAAGTTATGGAAGCAGTTGGAGAAGGTCCGAAGATAAGGGTGCAGGGCTGACTCTCCGTTGGCTGCTCTCACATTGCTAACAGCCATGCTCTCACCCAGCCCATAGTTTGCACTTGAACGAGAGGTTTTCATAGTCAGCTCATCAGCAGGAATTGTGGTGGTGTCTAGCAGGCAGGGAACAGTTCCATTCAGCTTTTCCAAGAGCATCTGGAAGCGCAGGACATCAACATCCCACATACACACAAACAACAATTAAAAATTCTCAGCAGTCAATTAAAATTTCTCATGTCCTCAGCATTTGGATGTTACCATTCTAACCAAAGCCTCAGTACAGAAGCACTGCAGTTCTCTAGAAAAAGCAGCAATGAGGGGGGAATTCAGGGACCCTCCTGTCTCCACAACCCAGAGCTGAAATGCAGTTCTGCATGCTGAGACGAAAGGGTGAAAGATGTGCCTTTAAACCTTACCTGAGTGGAAGGCATGTCTTTAAATGGTACATGTCCATTTGCCAGCTCACAAGCTGTTATCCCTATGCTGTAGATGTCAGATTTTGCATCATATCCCTGAAGATTCTAGAAGACAAGGCAAATAAAAACTGTAGGCCTGCAATGCAGACAGGTGATGCCCATGATTCGCTGTGTAGAACAAACAGAAACGATTCCAGCAGAAATTAGACAACCCACATATAGGATTGGTCTGTTGTTGTGGGTAGTTTTAAGGTAAAAAGTACAGAGTCAAGATGCTCATCATGAGCAAAAGCAACCCCGTGGCTGTTGGTTTTACTTTTCCCAGAACATACCCTACAACCTCAGGAAGTTACGCAGAGATAAGATGTATTACTGAGCATAAGCAGTAGTTGGTTTTTAAACACACCTGCTGCAAGACTTCAGGGCTGAGCCAAGGTAGGACTTTGATGCTGTATTTGGGAAAGTCATGAACGACTTTGAGGCGCTGCCCATGGTTAATCATACTCAGGTTACTTCTCAGACCAGAGAGGTACACCTTCCCATCTACAGAAATGAGGATATGGCTGGCTTTCACACTCCTTAAAAGAACAATAAAGATCAGTCAGGTTCTCTGTCCCCAAAGGTTGATGTTCCTTACAGCACCCCAGGAATGCTGCTAGCATAGAAGTATGCCACACAGGATTTGCTTGACCAACTCTGACAGTACACACCATCACAGGACTGACCACTGATCACCCAGGACCCTCAGTGTTTAAAATATAGCTTCACAATGAAAATATCAGAGGAAGGGAAAAATATGCTAAAGGGTGGAAACAGTAACATAAGGAAGAGATTTTTAAATGATTCAACCTTAACGAGCACTGATAGAAAGACTAAAAGCTTATCAAGAGATTCCTAATGGCCATCCTGAATACTGTGCAAAACTGCACGCACAAACACCAACAGGACTCAGTTCACCCACTTTGCTCTTCCCCCAAGGAATGTTTCTGTGGCAAGGAGAAATGCAGGACTGGAGGACTCAGGACAAATCTCCCCACACTGTCAGTGTCAATTCAGAGCCTTAGCACGTCTGCCTGCCAACACAGCTGTCCTGACTTCACACAGACACTGGCCTTCAGGGTACAGAGGTAAGTTTGTTTCAGCAACACTGCTATTATTATTATTTTTACCTATGTACATAGCCCATATGGTGGATGTAGTCAAGTGCT